AAAGTTTTCCGGCACATCGCAACGTTCTCTCGGCGAACAGTGAATTCTTTAAGGCCTTATTCGCCAATGAGATGAAAGAAAATTTTGAAAATACAGTTCACATGGAAGAATTCGAACCTCAAGTTATGGAACAGCTGCTAAATTACATGTACGGCGGTGGTATAAAAATCACGAGGGAGAATGCCCTTGATCTAGCAATTGGTTCAGATTTTTTGTTTTTGACTGAATTGAAGGGGAAGGCTTGTGAATATTTGATTAGCGATTTAAACTCAGAGAATTGTTTGTTTCTCTTGTACATGGCCGAGAAGTACAATGTGAGAGAGCTTCGTGACAGTGCCCAAACACACATCCTCGAAAATTACGTTGCTGTCTCGGTAAGTGAAGGATTTGCAGCTCTCAGCATAGAACAGCTGCTTGCGATCGTGTCCAGCGACGATCTCGTCGCCAGAGAGGAAAAGATTTTCGAATCAGTTATAAGATGGACGAAGCAGGACTTGGAGACAAGAAAGAAGCTCTTTCCCACCCTGTTTTCTTGCATCCGCCTGATCTATATGGCAAGATGTTATTTGATTAACGAAGTGCAAGAGGATGATTTAGTAAAGAATGACGAATCTTGTTTACGACTCGTTACTGCAGCGAAAGAGTTCTTTTCAACTCCAAAGGGAACTGTGCAAAATTCTGAGTACGCCTCAATGCGGCCACGTGCCTGTCAAACTGCCATCTTGATGGTGGGGGGCTGGGTGGAAAACAGTGACATCACTGCCTCATCAAAAGTGTACATGACAAGTATCAAGCAAATTTTCGAGGTTTCTGCAATGTCCGCTCCCAGAAAGAACCATGGTATTGCTGTGCACGAGGGTCTAGTGTACGTGGTGGGTGGAACAACTAAAAATGGCAACGTAACAAGGAGTGCAGAATTGTATGACCCAAGAACTAACACTTGGTCCAGTTTGTTTTCATTGCGAAAAGAGGTGGCGGGTGTGGGTGTGGCCATGGTAGGGGATTACCTGTATGCAGTTGGGGGGCATGATTCAAAGGGCATGCCACAAAGTATTGTGCAGCGCTACAGTGCAAAGTTGAATAAATGGGAATGTGTTGCTTCTATGAATGCTTCACGCACAAGGCACTGTGTTGTTGGTTCGAATTATGTATATGCTTTTGGTGGGTATTCCAGTGACGAAGACATTCCTTTAAAGTCAGCTGAATATTACAACCATTTGTCAGATTCTTGGGTTGACATTGCTCCCATGAATCAACGCCGCTCTGATGCCTGTGCAGTGTGTATGGGGAACAAGGTTTATGTGATTGGTGGAGAGGACATTTTAGGATCTCCCATTAAATTAGCATCTTGTGAGATGTACAACCCCAAGACCAACAGATGGACCAACATAGTAGCACTCAGACAGCCACGCTCACATGCAGGTGCAGTAGTAGTTAAGGACAAGGTGTTTGTTCTAGGTGGTGTGGGCGGAAATAACAGAGAGCTAAGGAGTGTTGAATGTTATGATGCAGATCAACAGAAATGGCAGGAGGTAGCAAATTTATCGGCAGGAATTGAAGGATTTGGTTGTTGTGTCATCACAGTACCTGGTGAATTAATGCCTGTGTTGGTTTGATAAATAGAATCCAATGGAGACTGATATGAACTTCTACACACAGAAGCTTCCTTCCTTTGGTAGATTAATGTTATGGGTGTCCATAGTTTCCAAAGGCCATACAGTGCATGTGGACTCTCTATGTATCACCCTCTGGGTCTCACTGTAGCCATGCAATCCATGAAAAAAGCAAAGAACTTTAAGGTTTGAAGATTCCATATTGTATTACTATAAATTTTTGATGACAATTTCATGTCTCCTAATTGTTGGAACTCTGCTGCAGCTGTTTATCAGGCCTCTCCTCACCATCTGGTAAGATTCTACTCATCAAATTTGTACAGCCATTTTCTTGCTCACAATGTACAACTTGATCAAGATTAAGGTACTTTACAATCTCACTGGAAATAAACCCCCAAAAATCTGTATGCCAACAATGCTGTCTGGCAAAGAAAAGAAACTGCTGTTTGTCAACAGCCTTCCCTTTAGCTCATCTTCACTGAGTTAAACCTAGGGCAGGTTAAGGTTGCTAAGACATTTGTAAGAGAGCTGTTTTAGATAAATATCAGAAACACACTGTACAAAGTTTAAGATGTAATCATAATTTCATGAAGCCACTGAATGCTCTTCATAAATTTCTTGACCAAATTTTCTTGAACTCTTTTTAACTCCCAGGTTACGATTAGTTATTCTTTCAACTAAATTCCATACATTCCCTTGTAAATTAGACATGAGAATTCCAATTTACATCAAGATAACACTCATCTGATGAGCTTGTGTATTCTCACACCCTGTTTGCAAGATAACATATTGGAATTGCAATGAGAAGTTATTAGTTTGTCACCTCTGAGAGTTACAGGGCTTAGAAATGTAGTAGCAGACTGATAAAAGTGTGAAGTAACAAGAGAAAATACTTGTTAATGCCTCAAATAGGTCAGCCGGCAATATTTAACCAATGTATTCTCTGATCTGTAAAGCCAAATGAACAACCTGTAGTATTCTGTGTTTGGCAAGGATTAAATTCAGAAATAAATGGAAGTCTTCAAATAAAGATGATAATAATAAGTGTTGCATGAAGGTGATAAATTATTTTTTCCTGTAATAGATCAGTCCTTGACATAAAGTGATACATTTAAGAAAATTAAGACTGAATTAACTTCAACTTGAGGAAGTCTTGTTATGTATTGAAAGAATCAACAGAGCATGCAAATTATAAAGTTGATGCAATGTAAATTACTTGCACAACCTCTTGCTTCAGCAATTCACTCACTGGAAATATAGACATAAGATTCCATGTATATTTTTCAGTTGTAAAGATCTGCCAGACTGTGTTTCCAATTGTTTTATTGTTGTTGTTTTTAATCTTATATAAAAAATTTTTTTCTTTTTGAGGGGGAGGAGACCTCCCTGAAAACAAGTGCTTCCTTTGCTTGGTCTTTTTTTCCATCTTGAATTTTATTTCAATCATTTGCCAGGGCAAAAAAATGAAAGTGAAACATTTGAGATGATGTGCATGAACTTACTTTTAATTGATGAATTGGGGGCAATCTTCAAAAGCTCAAACCCAAAAGTTTTGAGCTACATATTAGTAGAGAAAGACATCAAGAGGTGACCATGAAATCTCGATGACAACAGGACCTTTAACATCATCACAGGAGCAAAGTAAATTAAAAGTTTAGCAGTCTTAATTTCACTTAACAACACACCACTTTAATGACAAAGTTGCTATTTTACAAAAGACAAAATGAACTACAAATCCACAACAAAAACAGATGGATCTCTCTACACTGAGGATGAACTATGTAAATATTTTCTTCACTTATTCTCCCTGCAAGGAAAAAAAATGCAGTCAGAGATCAAGCAAAATATTCCTTTCATGAATTAAGCAATGGTGACATTTAATAACCAGAAAAGGCTAAATTTTTCACCAGTAGAATTATTCAAAAAGGAAGCCTTCTGGGCAGCTTGCTGGTGCAAGCACAACTGAGTATGTACTTCTCTAACAGACAAAAGACAAGCCTAGGAAATAACCCTTAAATATACCATCTGTCTGAGAAGGATTAGAAATTAATTCAATAAATAACTTTAAAATTCTCAGTCTCTTACTGGATTATTATCCTCGGCTTGTGGTTCATAGGACTGTAACTGAAAGAAAGATTTACATCAACATTGCCACTAAAATAAAGTTGTTGAAAACAAAGGAACTGCCCATCAAATCTGACAGTCAGTCCTTTACTGTGCTCTTGACAATGCTCAGCAATGGTTGAAATCCTTTTTCTTTTGGAATAGAAAGATGGGTGGAACCTTACTGCACCATAAACAGTTCAAAGGTAGAGCTGAATTTCAGACTTTTTCTTGATCTGATTTCTAACAGAAGGCTTGTAGTTACTATTGATATTGGTTACTTCCTCGCATTTCCTTCTCTTTGACATGTTTGTTAGGGTGTTATAAATATCAAATTATTAATATACAATGGATGATTTCCTGGAAAACAATGAAAGACTACGATTTTAAGTTGAGTGAGGTGTGGCAACAGTTTGGTGACATGGTTTTGGCCTTAAAAATTATTGTCATGCACAACCTTCCTCATTTCCATAGACAACTCAACCTAAAGTGCCATGTGTCACTAACCATCACATGTGAAATCTCTCAAAAAGAAGCAAAAATATATGTCACTGGAAAGGGTGTCAGTTACCCATGATAACAAAACAATTCTAATGTCAAAACGAGCTTGCCAAACTTCCGTTGTGCCTCACTGAATTGAAACTCAAGTATCTCTGGGAAAAATCTGTCTCCTAGCCTAAAGGGGTAAGTTTCTAAAGAAACTGTGGTGCTGTGTCGGTGGGAGAATAGAACAGGTAATTTAGTGTTAACAACTGAGTTGAAAACATAAATTAGCCACTGTAAAGGGTAAAAAAGCTGACATTTCAAGTGTTAGCCCTTCGCCAGAGCAATTGGGGAAGGGCTAATGAAGGGCTAATGCTCGAAACGTCAGCTTTTTTACCCTTAACGGTGGCTAATTTACGTTTTCCTCTCCTAGCCTAGTCTACTACGTACACAGTCTTGTGCCAAATGTTATCAAAAACATCACATCCTTCCCCCTGTTCTCCTACTGACAGCTCAGTAGGCTGTAATATGACTTGCAAATCAAATGGGTGTAGCCTATTAAAGGTGTGAGATTACTTAGACAAGGTGCAGAGATCATAAATTACTCACAGATTTTATTCAGAAAGTTCAACAATTGGCTCTTGAGGAATAAGAGACCCTGGGGTCCTTGTAGATTTACGGCTGTTGGAACGGCTTTGAACCTAGTTTGAAGTTACTTTTAATTTAGTGTTACATTGTTTTCATCGAAAAAAGTATGACCATTCATATCTTTCTCTGGAAAAGCTTTCACTTAAATACCAGCTTTTAACAAATTTTTTCCATTTAGCAAGATTGCTGGTTAGTTAAATAGTTGAAGACTATTAAATTGTTACCAACTCAGTGGTTTTCAAACGTTCACTGATAACAGCAAGAGATACTGTTACAATAAGATCATTGTAACTGCTGAGGAATCGCAGAAAATTTTTAAAATGATGAGCCATGAAAACTTCCTGAGTCTTTCTTTCTATGTTGGCTGGGTGGGTTTAGGATAGCACTTGATCCAAGGCTTAAAATTTTCCAATTTTCCAGCAGATACTTACAATAATCCTCCATTAATTATACCAACATTTAAGTATTCAAGAGATGAGTTTAAAAACATATTAAAAAATATTTACTACCTCTAAATATAATATCAGGAGTATTACGCTTTACACATCATTTATTAAAAACATCTTAAAGTTGCTTTCTTTTCTGTCAATGATTTAAAGGTTATTGATAAAAGTAGTTACTTCTACATGTTTCTGCAAGAGCCTGATATCAATAAAGTAAATAACAAGAAGAGATAGACACAGTGATTTACATTTAGAATACCTGCTTCTGTTAATTGTTTCAGAATATTAGTTTGATGCTATTTAAGACAAAAGTTACTTTAAATAATTGTGCTTAATTCAAATGAAACAAGGTCACCAAAGTGTTGACAGCAGTTGTTAAATGCATTGACAAGACTTACAGGAGTTTCCGCAGCCCAAGATAATCGCTTTTCAACACTTTTGCGAGTGTAAGAGGAGATTGGAGGCTCAGAAAGGGATGTTATCTGTTATAATTAAATGATTGTTATTATGAAAGGTGAAACTGTTCAGCTTCACCAGAACATTTGAGGAGAATTAGGCAGGTTAGCATGAAATTAAAAGAACATTATGTTTGTTTCAGAAAGAAGAATTGGGAAGGTGTGATTGAAAAATTAAAGCTTATAAGTTTAATTTCACAACATCCATACTCCTATATCACCCATGGCAAGGTTCTTGATTAATTATGATGCTAACAGGTCATCTGGAATAAGCATAAGGTCAGCATTTGCAGGATTGCATTGTGGTTTGGAACATGTATTTGGTATTAGAACCTCTAAATTCTAGGAAAAGACGGCAGGAATGACAAGTATGGGAAGTGTGCTATTAAGTTTCTTTTTTCATGATTTCATGTCAAACTTGGTGATCCCAGTGAGGTTTTGTTAGCCCAATAAGATTAAAAAAAGAGCCAATATTCATTATGGAAACACTGAGCATAATTGGTTCTTAGAGTAATATACTGTAAACTTAGTGTGTGGTGCACATAACCCATTTATTGCAAAAAGTCTTTGAACTTACTCTTTGTTTAAGATCATTGTTTTCCATCGTCAGCTGCTCAACCTTTTGTCTTAGGTCGGAGACTTCATTTTTCAAAGCTTCAATATCTGCTGTTTCAGGGGGACCTCCATGGAGATGATCCTTCATGAAGCTTCAACATCATTAAGGTCCAAGATTATTAGTAGTAAAATACTAAGACCAACTTATCCTCATAGAAAAAAAGACCATGGGGCAATATGTTAATTACTTGTTGTGCCTGCTAGGGAAAATTTCTTTGCTATGGGGAAAATGACAATCAGTGGTTTGTGCCACACCTTGAAATTATGAACCAAGAATGAAAACAGCCTGTGGCTGGTTCTCAACCCAACAAAAATAATAAATTAAAGTGCTTAGGTATGGGGAAAATCACGATCAAAGGTTTGTACCACACCTTGAATGTTCAAGAATGGTAACAACCTGTGGCTAGTTCTCAACCCAACTAACATTAGAATTGCAATAAAAGAATGATAAAATTTTCTCTATAACCTAATTGACTTGTTGGTTGGTGAAAAAAAATAATTAGGACATGGAAAGTTGTTAGATTGACATGGTAACAGTGCCCTAAGTTGGAGGACCTCACCCAGTCTGGACATATCATTCCAAGTTAGGCTAACTGAAGTCAGCTTATTTTTTTACACAAACCATTGTTGCTTCATCATAACATCTAACTATTACTCCTTTTTCAGGAGCATTTTTTTACTGGAGTCAATTTTGAATACAAACATAACCAACTCACTCAATCCAACATGGGGTGACTTGAGTGCACCTGGGAGTGGGGGAGTGGGGGGGTGATATGATCTACCTTGAATCTAGCATGGGATGGGAATTCATGACTACATTTGGAGGGTGCCTTATCTTGGAGTGAGTGCAATGGGACAATGTGACCTACTTTTGATTACCAAATGCAAATAAAAACCAAGCAAAGGTGTCCTAATCAATAATAATTCATTTCAGACTTGTGATGCATCGAACATCACCATTAAAGCTTAATAGGTAACAACTTCTCGATAAGAGGTGGCACTTCTACTACAATCTGTGCTGAAATATACAGTTTTTGTTTAAAAGACAGAACACAAATACGTACGTTACAAAGGATACTCTAACGCATTCGCTGGTTTCTCGGGTTCTTCGTACAAATTCACAAGAACTGTTGAACCAACACAGGGAAAAAACTCAGCAAAAGGAATAAAATGAACTGGAAATCGACTAGAAATTCACCTTTGGTCAAAGCATCCATAACTCCCGCCTTTTCCAGATACTTTCTAAACTCTTCACGTTTCGAATCGGCCACCTTCACAAATAGGAAAAAAAATCGACATCGAAAAAACACTTCAATCACACTAAAAGAGGGTCAACTGCAAAAAACTTCGCACTACATACCCTGTATTGTGAAGTCATTTTTCTGAGGCCGAAAGGTTTAAAGGAGTTTAGAAGATTTGTGAAATCGAAATAAAAAAACTCTGTAGCAACAAGAATTACAAATCAACAGATCCTTACACTTTTGAGGTGTATTATGGGTAAAGTTAGTCATGCCCAGGCTTCCTACGTCTTGCGTTCTCCCAAGATGGCGGCTGGGCCGGCATCTCTGGTTACCTCTAAATGGATTAGGGCTGCTTTTGCGATTGCAACCAAATTGCACTTGGGTAATACATCTCTTAACGGCAGCAGCTTTACTCGTTTTTCCACCAAGTCAGCTCTCCCTGTTCTTACTTTGTACACCAAGGTAAGATTTTTCGGCTAGATAGTGCTTCTTTCTTTTCACCTACAGAGCAGGTTTTTTAAAACTTCTCCTCCATGTATGTTAGTGTCACTAGGATTATGGCATTTACTTAGATTTACATCTAATTCATAAGTACTCACTTGGATAAAAATAAAATGGTCTTAATATTATCACAAACAGGTTAGGAGCTCCGGAGAGTAGGTATTAGGCTGAACTTATAGGATACAAGAAGTGGTAGAGTTAAAAGCTGGATGCTTGAGAGTCTTGCAAAATCGTAAGCACCTTTTTAATCAATAATTTCCGTGTTTTGCAAGAGAGGGAGAAATTGAGATGAGTGTGGAAAGCGTGGACAGTGTGAGGGAAGGTTCTGGCAAATTTGATTTTCTTAACCCTTCCCTTTTTCTCCACCCCTTCCCAATGCTAAGGATGAACCCAGGGGAGGATTTGTTTTTCGACAATTCTCAACTCTATTGCCTCTGTACAGCATGTCTGCCCACTTTGTGATGAAGCCAAGGTTGCCATAGAGAGCTACAGACACAGGGTTGGTATTCACACTATCAGATTTTTTTTCTTTTCAAATTTAAAAACAACATAAATCAACATTAATAGGCTATAAATAAGACTAAATTACAAGATCTTTAAAAATAAGAAAGTTTATCAGTCTATGTAAAAGAAAAAAAAGTGTAGTTAGATTGCCAAGCAAGAGGCAGGAGCCAGGCTGACAAACTTGTTGACACATCAACATTGATAATGCAATACTCTAGAAGTGCACACCAATTCTATCCCTGATACTGTTATTTTCAATCCCTCTCCCCTTGTATAGTGGTTCTCCATGTTTTCTGTGATTGTAGAAAATAAATGAGTGAACTACACTTCAATTTAATGCTTCCTTAAATTAATGAAGTTCTTACCAACTGAGTTTGAGGGTGGTACTGGGTAATATTGGCCCAAGCTTGTGGCAGTATGTCCATAGAAAAACAAGTAAGGACCAACATTCCCTAGTAAAGGAAGATTATTAAGTAGTTTATTATATAGCAATCAGACCAAACTTGTTTATTTTGAAAATGTAGGCTTCTGCAAACAAAAATTTTTTGGCATATATTCATTCCCATGGAAATGGTTTGTGTGGCAAAATACAGACCAAGTAAGAACTAATTAGAAAACTTGAATTAACCTTAGGACTACCTTTCCATATAATAAAGCTACATTGATTTAGGTGTACTGACATCTACAATAAATTTTGCCTGACAAAACCCAAACACTCACTTGATAATTCATTTAATACTAATTATTATTACTTTACTTTGAAGATGTTTGCTTATAAATAATAATATATATCTAAATCCTCAGTTTCAGTTTGAAGAAGTGGACATCAAAGCAAAAGGAAATGAAACATGGTTTGAGAAATACAGATATGAAATTCCTGTATTCCATTTAAATGGATCATTTCTCATGAAGCACAGGGTGAATGAAGAGGTATTGGAGAGGGAATTAAGTAAATTTGAAGAACAACAAAGAGGCTAGAGAAAGATGACCTTCAAAGAATAAGATAATACCATACTTCACAGCATCACAATAGGAAATCATCTAAAACTGCTTTTCTAAGATTGGCAAAGAGTACTCTCCAGAAGAGAAAGGAGTTACTTTTAAGGTATAGAAAGTGAGGGTAATGTGCGTGTCTTTCCCAAGAAAATGTTACAATGACTTATCCTGCTCAAAATGAACTCTTTTTGATCAAATTCTTGTAGTAAAGTCAAAATTACATGCAATGTTCAACTGAATATTTATGTCTTCTGATCAGTCTTCAAATAGTGAAAGAAAGTGGAAAGCTTTATTACAATATTTTCTTTTCTTATGGGACTGCAAAAACATTATAATTTCTTTAATAAGTGTTTTGCATAATAAGTTGCAAGGAAAATCAATATTTGACATTAAATAAAACTAATATACTGTATAACTAATAAATAATTTATATACTACAATTTTCTTGTTGTCACTTATATGTCTAACAACTCCTTGACAATTACTAATACTTACAAAATGGACAAGCATCACCTTAGGTGAAAATATCATATTTATCCTTAAAAGTTAAAAAGTTTCTTTAATTTAAGTAAATATAGAGTAGTTTGTATGATGACTAGCTTATAATTTCTCCTACAGTATCACTCCTGAATCAAAAACTGAGGTCATGAGAATAAAGGATTTAAAATAATTCTCCTTGTCAGCATCTTAGGAAATGTATAGAGAACAGTATGGAGAATATGCATACTGATGTTGGGGTGTAAATTAACACACTTAGTGACTTACACTGCCCTTTAAGTCATCAGGAGCAAGACTAAAACTAATGAAGACTCGATTCAAATTCAAGGAATATGATACTAGCAAACTCCAGGTAGTAAGGAAAAGGAAAATTGATGCACCATGCATGGGACTGCAGTGTTTTGTATTTAAATCTACAGGTTTTTTTCGAATTAAGCTATTTCTGCACATACAATTTCTTAAGAAAGTTTGGCGCACAGAGAACCTAGAGGTTTGTTTGCATTGGTTAAATTTAGAAATGGAACTTCCTCCAACATAGCATCAATTATCTTAATTATTCTTAAAACTTGTTGTCTGCATCATGAGAATTTAAAAAAAAAGGAACTGAGAAAAAATTTAGCTCCAGATGAGACAACATGGGTTGAACCAGTTAACCTATAAACAAAATAACTGTACAATACTTTTCTCACCATTGAAAATTTTGTGCATCATAATTATGAGTGTGATGTCTAACTTGATTAAACAGAATCATCTGGTGAAACTTTAGTATACTCTGAATATTTTGCAATTCCAATGATACCACAAGCTAAACAAGCACCACTGTTCCCAGTTGTAAGACTCAATTCATGTCCGCCTCTTCCAAGATCATCTACACCTTCACAAACCTGCTAGTGAGAGATAAAAGAGCAATTTTCTATATGATTGCCAACACAAACCCCAATTATGACATGATTTATGCAGGCCATGAAAAACTGCCAGCCAACATTGTGTGATTGGCCATGAACTCTGTTGTGATATTCTGCTGATCCTAGCACACAGGATAAAGAAAAAGGAATATACTTTAACAATAGGGCTACCTTTATTAATTTTTTTTTTCCAAGAAGGGCTGGTAGAAGAGAAGGGAAGAAATACATTTGTGTTCACAGGTAAATATCTGTACATTTCCTAATGTTTTGAAGTCCCATGAAATTTCACTTTGCAAAAAACAAAACACTGACCTCCAAGGTGCGACCTATCACTGAATATTCCCCTGTTAATGACACAACACTATCAGTGATGTTGACTTCTGCCTGTCCTTGATCATCAGCTTCAATATTTCCAAGGTCCCCAGCATGTCTGTTGCTTCAAATCAAGCCAAAAGTTATAAAAATATTAAAACAATTAACATAATTTTAGTTTTCAAGTCTGGTAAAAAGTGGAAATTAAACCAAAATTAAGGTTTCCCAGCAGGAGCTATCTAGCTTCCCAAAGACTCAGCCTAATTGACACTTTCCCAGCAGTGAATACATGTAACTTCCCTTACAGCAGAAGATTTCTTTTTTTTTTAATCATTTTAATTCCAGAAGATCACAGATGACTTGAGATAAGCTAAAAAGTGGCAACTACAGTGAGATAATATTTATTTGCTCAAGACCAACATATTTTTTTACAAGTGTAAAGTGCATAATTATGTGAAGGGCATGACCTTGTGTGCGCCCCTTTGTGATTATGGATTATAAAAAAAATAATTCTGACCTGTTGTTGTCTTCTGGTCCACCATGTGTCTTGTTATGTGGATTAAAATGAGCACCAGCACTTTTACAACCTGAAATATAAATTATGATTGATGCAAAAAGTTACCAAAACATACATTTTAAAATCTAGTTAAAATTCAAACAGTATAATAGCACCAAGAAGACTTCTTGGATAATCAAAATATGAACCTGGTAAATAAGCTAGTTTGCCAAGGATTTCCTTGTATCTCAGCTGGTATTGCTTTATTGATATGACAACTGGCTAGGGTATTAATCAATGGAGACACATTTTCTCTGTTCCACTCTCAAAAAGAAGTTTAAAATCTTTTTTAAAAAAATATATTGCAGAAGTTACAAATAAAACTACTAAATGGCTTATACTTTGATCCTTGTTCTTTCCCTTCCAAGCACCAAACCTTGAGGAAAATCCAGATATGCTATACAATTTTTGAGTAATTTCTTTTATAAATATATATAAAAGATAACTCTATGTTAGTGTATAGAGTGGTATGTTTTAGAAAAGCTTGTGCTTCAACAATAAAGTCCCATTTCCCTTGAGGATTTTTCTCCTTTGAGAGGAAATTGAAATTTTCCAATAGCCATAAAATCCGATTAAAATATTTGAACCATAAAGCAAAAAATGAGTGAGCATTGGTTTCAAACCTTGTGAAATATCCCCATATTCTAGAATATGGATGCCATGATGTCCCTCCGTTAAACCCTGTAAAATTCCTCTGATTACACATGGCCCACCAGGTTGCTTAAAATTAAGACAAAAGTTCAACAATTTACTCAATGAGTTCACAATTCCTCAATCCTATGTTAAATATTGAAATTAACCGCTTTGCTGATGTGATCTTTTTCATCTTTTCATTTCTGTTGATTTCCCAATGGTGTCAACACGTCTTCACTAATTTCCCTTTGTGAGTTTCAAGATAAGTTAATGAACTTTTAATTAATCGACTGAAGGCGAGCTTACGAAGTAAACTCTCAAAAGCTTGTTTTGACGCAATTCTTATGCATTTAAAACTGTTTCTGCACGTTATGCAAGTCGGAAAAATTCAAAACTGCACTCAAGTCGAGGAATGAGGTAAGGGGTTAGACACTGCCTCTAACTAAGCTTCAAATATAGCCTCCCTAATCTTACTTGAATGGGATCCTGTCCCGTACGCCATTTAGTAGATATATGCAGCTCGAGCTAATTAGTTAATCGTGAGAATGAAAGCATTCTAATCGTAACATTTTACAATACTTTTAATTAAAGCCCTCTCGAAAAATTGTTTCCACGTCTTGAGAATACTAAAATAATGCATTTTTAAGCTGACAAACAATGTTTATTTGACACAGGAGAGGTCATCTTGAATAGTGAAGCCACTTCAAACGAAAATCTTACCCCTTGGAAAAATGTGACTGTTCCTTGAATGTCACCAGCTAAGTGGCATACTGCATGAGCCATAACCAGGAGGAAGTCAATTGATCTTTCACGGGCAAATATATTTTTTAATAACCCTTTTCCGCGAAGACCGCGAAAAGTGCATAACAATAACTTTGTCGCCTCGATACTCGCGTGTGAAAACAAACCGCTGACCTCATAAAAAAATTTTAGCCTAACAGGAGGGGGGAGGGGGTGGGAGGGAAAGGAGGAGGGATAGAGGGGTGGACTTGAGTTAACAAATCGAAGATTAGGAACAAACACCGTCATCTAGACTATTGAGTGCTATCAATGATAAGAAAAACTCTTATTAAAGTTAATATCCACTTACAAATGTGAATTAAAATGGTTAAGGTGTGATCAGGGGGATGACTCCAAGGAAGAAGTTTGCACTTAACGATTTTGAAAAATTCCCTTCAACAGAAACAAGCAATCAATCAAATTTACTCTTTCAATTACTTACTATAAATTCAATATTTGAAATTAATCACACCAGTATTTAGCTTCTATTCACATGGCAAATGGATCTGATAGCAGGCTAAATGACGTTGTTGTTCAAACCACATACAGAATGATGGTTGGAGCAAGTATCAGCCTTAATTAAGAAACAAATCCATAGGTGTAAATTTCAGCTGAGTAGAAAATTAAGAATCTCCTCTGACCCATTCTCTGCTTTATGATGTTTTTATCTTTTAGGACTTAATGAGAATTATGAGGTATTTGTACTTTATAGCAAAAGCAGTATTCAAGGAAAGTTTTATCACAATTGTTGTGAAATTTTCCAGTTCCCCTTGCCAATGTTTCTAATAAAAAAGCTTACAGGAGTAGCCTGAGCACAAGATGAACAATGCGAGATGAGCCAACAAAACTGGGTGAATATCAATCTCCTTCCAGAGGTCATGTGTCTCTGAGCCCGTGTGGAAAGGCAACATCTTAGAGCAAGGTGGTGCTACTGACATTTTTATGGTGCAGTAGGACTTGAAGAGAGTGGTAAGGTAAAATGAAGAGAGTACAGTAAAACAATTTAAAACTTTAAGTTTAAATTTATTGACTATTGTGTGTCTGATTTTAGTTACCACATAGATTTTAGTGTGAAAGCATTTCATCTTTTAACACAACAAGCTTTTCAGTTGTCAAATTCCTTGTTTGAGGGTACTGTTTACTTGCTAATACCAATAACACCACAAGCAACACGTGGACCAGCATTTCCAGTTTTCAGACTTTCATCATCTCCACCTTTTCCCAAGTCATCCTTTTTAGCATGAACCTAACATCAAGTTGAATAAAACAGAAGTTTCTGACATGAAATGCAACCCACATTACATATTGGCAAGCATCATTTGCCAGAACAAAGTTAGGTGGAACCTCTCCTTTCAATATCTATCTGTTGACCAGTAAGGTAATGTGAAGTAAGAAGCTACCTGGACAAACAATTATTTCTTATGAATGAGAGGAGTCACCTCTCACAAAAACCTAATGCTCAAACTGTCAGCTTTATGAACTCACTGCAGTGGCCAATTCACATTATCAACTCAGTTGATAAAACCAAATTACCTACAACAGGGAAATGTCTTACAACAAGGGAGAATTTCATGTTTTATCTCAGCTTAATTTCACATATGATCTCCCTTATACAGGAGTACACTTTTCAGAGAGGTTATTGCAAATTCTTTTCAAATATCAAAAAACATAGATATAAAACTTAGAGAAATAAAATCTTAGGCACAGCTAAAGTTGGTTTACCTACCACAATTGTACGTCCAACAACAGAATCTGGTCCAACAACTGAAACAAGCTTGTCCGTCATGTCAATTTTGGCTTTACCATCGCTTCCTGCTCTGATGTTGCCAAGATCACCATAATGACTAATGGGAAAGTAAGCAGCAAGGAACATTATCAATCACTGAGCTGAATTATGCTTAATAGAATACATACAACCTAGTAATAGGCTAGACACTTTTTCTAGAAAACACAAATTTGGCAACTTTGGATAATCTTTAATCCTAACCAGAGGAAATTCTTTGAGCAGCTTTCAAAGCAATAGAATTTGAATAATGCACTTAACCACATGTCTTTAAGAGAGTCAAAACAAATTAGAATCCGTTTTTAAGAGTTTGCCGAAATTATTGTTAAGGTAATTTGGTGTAACCCTTCTGGCCATATGATAAATCCTACATTGACTGAAATGTAAGTCTGTTGAATAAAGCTTGCTGTACAGTAGCATCACCTCATTCATCTATTTTCCCATTTTTTTTTTCTTTAGGACCTTTATATTAGATCAATTAACCAAAGAATGCTCCTGCTTCCCAAATGAAAACACAGCTAGTATAAACATTATTAATCCTTTAATTCCCACAAGTGACCAAGACAGAATTTCTCCTTACAACATCACTTCAGATGAGTGATGACAATAAATAAAAACATGAATTTGGGGATAATTAGTTGATCCAATACTAAATTCTTTGAACTAACATTAACCCTTTCACTCCCAGAAGTGATCAACATAAAATTTCTCCCTAAAATATCCATACATTCTTCAGCACACAGGTAATGAGAATATTCAAACTTATCAGGTAGAAGCTGCTATCATGATGTAGCACCAAGTTCTCATAACTAATTTACAAGGAAATGTGTGGCAGGTACAGGGCAGAATTAACAATCAGATCTTGGGAGTTAAAGGGTTATAAGAATTGTATAGCTGACAGTAAGGAGAATGCCAAATTTGATCTGGTAGTTAAAGGGTTGACAATTTTCACCCTAATATTCTCCATGCTGTTCTCTTTACATTTCCAAAGGTATTGACAAGTAGGATTTGTTTAACAATCACAAGCTTCCTTGGTTGGTGACAGTTTGCCTTATTTTCTTGACGTTTCTATTTGATTCAGAGGTGAAATTGTAAGGAGAAATTAGATGCCAATCACTCTAAGGGGTCAAAGGGTGAGTTATGGTACCGTGTTTCATCAGTTGGTCCTCCATGAGTTTTATTTTTTGGATTAAAGTGGGGTCCAGCGCTTGTACAACCTAAAACAAAATTAAATGTTCTATCTGATAACAGCTTATGATATAATGATATGAATTAAATCTTTAAATTTGTAAAAATTTTTAGTCTTCGCCAATAGAAAGGATTTCCAGCAATTAACAACCTACTGAATTTTGAGACTCAAAACAGTGATCTAACTACCATTTTGAAAACAACTCAGAAACCTTGCCACACCTACAAACCCACAATGGTTTTGTGTTCACACCAGCAGCTGCTATTTATTACAAAATCATTTTTTGAGCCCAAGGTTCTTCTATGTGTCATTTTCAGCTGCTGAACCAGATTGACAAGAAGTTGGAACAAGAAGAGTTACACTTTGAATATCTTCTGTAATTAGCTAGGTTCCCCAGCAAGATTGAATTAATGGGGTTCTTAGTTGAATTTTAAGCAAATTTGAATTTCATTTACCTCAAAAAATTACCTACCATTAGTGCCATCTCCAAATTGGTGGACATGAAAACCATGCTCTCCTTCTGTGAGTCCTTCTACTTCACCAGTTATCTTGCATGTGTCTCCCACCTGTTGATAGTTCGTAATGAAAGGTTTAAGTCCTGAATGCTGCATTTATTAATCAATACTAGGTATTTTCCTTTGTAAGTTGGTCCTATTGCATAAATGATAATTGTAAATCTCACAACTATCCTTTATCTAATTTTTAACTGTATCCCACCTAGAGTATTTCAAAATGTAAGCAGACTGGCTACAGTTGTGCTAACAGAACAGCTTCTTTGTTGCTGCAATATCTTCCCCTTACAGAAGTGAAAAGGTAATTTCTCTTTATAATATCAATACACTTTTGAGCAAAACAGTGCTGAGAAGAATGAAAAACATAACCTTGGGGGGTACTGTTTAGTTAAAAAACAAATTCTTAGGGGCAGACTCTATGACAAATGTTTAGTAGACAGTTAACACAATTGGTAGTTAGATATTAGTAGCGAAAAGGGTTAACTACTGCAGTACATGGGTACCAATCTGCACTTGCCATCCAATTTAAGTGGTACTATAGCTTTGAAACTAATTTCAGTGGGCAACTTTTAACATCAACTCAGTTGGTAAAATCAAATTTGTTCCGCTCCTCCAACAACAACGAAGCGCGTACTGAACTACCCTTGCAAGCCATTGCAAAAATTTCGTTTCACGGTGGTTGTGTATCACCGTAGTAAAAATTTGTTTCACAAAGACTTTGGCAAATTTAAATATGCTCCATTGAACACTCTATAATTCGGTTCCTACTCTAATAGGGCGTCACGCTCCCGAAAGAGAGCCTTTTAGTCACACTATCAATAAAATATCTTGCTCTGTGTCTTTGGTGTAAGGAAGACTGACTTTTGCGAATTGCAGAAATTAAATAGTTGACGTTTAGGTAGAGTTTATGTTCGAGTTTGAGGGAGTTGTCTGCTTAATTTAGAACGCTTCGGGTGTCGATTCACTGCACTTCGCAGGAGTCAAAAGGTATTTGTGCAATTCTCGTTTGAAGCAATTGACGAGGCGAACAGTCACGCTGGCATAGAGAAATAACTCCCAGCCATTTATGGTTAGGCCAACGAAATCTGAAATGTAAATCTAGAAATTCCAAAAGTGTACTCCCAAAGGTACGATGTGTACATTCGAATCCAATTTTAGGCGACACTGGAGTGGATCGAGGCCACGGCGCCTGTGCAAGGCTAGTGGTCAACTCACCTGCTCAAAATGGATTACACCTTTCACAGGGCTGTTATTGGGCAATAAAACGCAAACTGCCTTTGGTCCTGACATTGTAAAATAAACGATAATTCACCACGTCAAGGGCACATGTGCAGAACAAACCTTCGAGTGTTCTGTCGCATTCGAACATGTGACCATTAAGAGCTTGGCCCTCAGAGGAACTTGGGAAAAAATGGACGATACCGCCATAGATGCCTTGTCATGATTTGTCATCATAACTACCATTACAGATTTCTTTCTTTTCTTTTCCCATTACTTAAGGAAAAATGTCGGAAGACTAATGTAAGATTCGCCCTTCGCTCATTAATTAGTTTTGTTCTCTTAATTTAACAGCCACAAACCTCTTTGTTTTCATCAAAGGCCGCTCATGGACACCATGAATTACGTAACATGAAACACTGATCATAAATGATCAGACCCCTCATTTGAGGGTGAGGATAATTCCAAAGAGAAAATTCAGCCCGTAAGAGTATTAGAAAGATTAAAGAGGATCAAATGCCTCAGGAATCAAAATACGAGTAGGGATCTTCGAATGATCTCAAAAGGGATGCAGAGGAAAGAAGCGAGTGAAGCTTGCGAGTTTCCCGCCCCGACACAATCTCTCGCCACCAACAGATATTAATTGCTTTCCCTAGTTATTTGTTGATCGATTGATTCATTTATGAATCGAGTCGTACGTTAATTAACAAGGAGCGCATTGACTGGGTCTCCTCGCCTTCTAGCGATAAC